ACTGAGAGGTGTGGAATCGATGTGATAGTTATCTAAAGCAAACAATCCTTGAACAATAAGTGGAAGATTGCCTTTTTCACCACGATATCCTATTGCCAAGACACTCCAATTACTTTTATCGCGTGCAAAGCGGCGTTCGACAATTTGGCGATCATGTGCAATCGCATTATTGCGTTTTGTAACTTCTTCGTCATCACCTCTTTGCATAATGACGGCTGTTGGATGGTATTTCTGAATACCGATGTAACCTCTATCTGCAAGAAGTCCTAATGCAACAGATTCAACTCCACGTTGGACATGTAAAAAATCTGAAGCTCCTGATAAATCAAATACTTTCTTATCGTGAACTGAAGCTAAAAAACTTGTATTCATGTGAATTACCTGTCCTAAAGGATTAACAAGAACTTGAACCTTCATACCATTGCAATGGTTTTTAGCATCCCATGAACTTTTACGCTCAGCAAGATCAAGAGGAACGGTAAAAGGAATAGTAGAGCTATCAACTGCAGCAACACATGTTGGAAAGTTATCGAACTCCTTGTCACAGGGAGAATATTGTTTTGGAATGAATTCAGCAATGAAAATTGGGAACATCCTGTTTGTTGTTTTGTTAATGATTTTGCTGAGGTAACTCTGTTTCAAACTAACAATTCCTGACATTTTTTGCAATGGAAGATAAGTGCAATAGTAAGTTAATGTTAGGAATAACGCATCTAATGGATCACAACCGTTTTTCCGACCGCGTCTGGATGAAAACTCATGCTCGCGAACAACATCAACTAAATACAAGAGTTGATCCAAAGAAAAGTTACAAAGGTCTTTGACATTTAAGATTGGGTGTGCCTCAAGGAATTTTTGTAAGCTAAACTTTCTGACAACTTTAAATTCTTCGGCATTAGCTGGTGCTTGATTTTCATCTTCACTTGCGGGCTCTGATTCATCAAGATAAGCTAAGTGCATTTGCATTCTCACGATTTCCTTGGATCGGGTTTTGGACTTCTGGATATCATCCAAGAACTCGGAATCATCCTTGTACTCCATTAATGAAAGTGATATGAACATTTCTTCTAAGAGTTTTCATTCAATTCATGTTTTTAAGAAGTTAGTGAATTAATTTTCATATCTCAGAAATTCGAAAAATAATTGTTTAAGGATACCCTTACATTGCGTAGTTAGAAAGAGAATATGATATTGTCATGATTGCTAAAGTTTTAGGCTCCAGAAATGAATATACATCAAACTGAAACAATTGATAAATTGAATGAACTTTTGAGAGGTTCTCAAATAAAAAAAATTATCTAATTTTTTACAATATTACTATTATTTTATCCACATATGTATATATAGTAATTTGAGAAAACTTTTAGGAAAAAATAAGTTTAATAAAAATCTGAATTTTACTTGTTGTGGGATTGTTATTAATTGACACTCCAGACGTATTACTAATAGTTATGCGTATGCAATTAAAGTATTTCTGATGGACAAAATGTGAGATTTATATCAGATAATTCATTTCTACTATTAAGTTATTCATTTATGAGTTTGCACTTATTCGCACTAAATAAATAACTATTAAAAATTGTTTTAATTAATTGACACCATATAATAGAGTGAATTTTGTTTGATCAAACAACAATAGATGATAGATATAAAGCCAAGAAACTTGCTATTAATATGCTCTACTTGCTATTTCAATGTAAGTATGATATTTTCTAAATGTTTCGTTCAGATAACTTAGATATATTAGTCAAAATTTGAAATTTTAATAGCACATATATTAAAAATATTATTATTCATAAAAGATTAATGAAATAGTAAAAAAAAATCAATCAAATTATAAAAATACAACATTTAGAAGAATTCTTATTATCCTTCAAAAAGTCAGTATTTCTGCTGTAATTTTCTACAACATTGTAGTTATTGCACTTTGTCTATGGATTTGTATATATGTTATATATAAATTATATATCTAAACTGCCCATAAGTGCAATTTTTATATAAATTGTTTATTTCTTTAACAATTTCATATGAAATATGCTTTTTTAAGCGTATCAAAGCTGTGTTCTTAATGTGCATGGATATATCAAGAAAAATGTCGAAAAAAAATGTGAATTCACAAATTCACTGAATTTTCACCGTTTTTTGAATTTTGCTACAGCACTAATATTAAATAATACTAAAATCTTCTGTCTTTGTAAAAGAATAAATTCTGACAAAAAGTGCTCGTTTAAATTTAATGATCATCTGTATGACTAAGTGGTAAAAAGTGTTTATGACCAAAAAAGGGTTACATGCTTAGTCTCTTTTTCTGACAGGATACTCTAGATTTACATGATCTCTATTTCATATCTCCGTTTTTAGATTCTTCGACAGATTTTATGATAGAAAACCAAGATTAACAAATTTCCGGCATGTTAATGAAGAAATCTGCAGCTACCCTCAATATTCTTTCAATAATCAGTATCGTTTCTCTTACAATTTATTTTTTTCTCAATAATTTAACAAGAAATAACAATACACACTTAGTTTTACGTATAAAAGCTAAGTGTCGAACTTAATCAACTTTACTTACTTAGCAAATGAATATTTTTGTGGTTGCGAGTTCTGAATGCTGAAGTTTTAGATTTCTCTATAAATGATATCATTGCACTTACAATGTTGTTCCAGCCTATCGCATAAATCATAGAAAATCCAAAAAAAAAAATAATATAAAGAAAATTCATGTCATGAAGTTCAAAAAAATACCGTGTAACATTAAAATTTGTTATGCATAATACATTTTAGCTATTATTGATTTTTTTTAATTTTCGAGAAATTGAATGGTGAGTCCGATAGAGAAATTTTTAAAAATCCTAGTCCCTCATAGAAGTAATTTCCCTCGTCTCCCATACTTCCAAATGTATGCATATGACATAAACTTTTATGCATTACACAAATGGCCAATAATATCTATAGAGTAAAAAATTAGAAATTTAATTTTTTTATATGATAGTTATATTTCAGATTTGCGAGCGTAACTTTTTTCTCCATGGCATACTTGTTTTAAGAGCAAATGATCAAAATCGTCCTTCAATTATTGAAGGAGCTGATATCTTTTGAAAATTGAATTGAAAGGGTATTCAATTTTCAAATTTCCTCTCAATTTTGGAAACATATCAACTCTATGAATTAACAATTATGTGCCTTCACAGTTTATCAGTCATATAAGGTGCTTATAAAGAAAAAAGTTACGCTCGCAAAATATGTTTTTATATAGATTTCACATAAAATAATTATGTAATTTCTAAAAAGAATATTTTTGTTCTTGAATATTAAAGTGTATTGTAGTTTAAAAAGTTTTAAATATGTTGCTAAAATTTCAGGTTTATAGCTCATGTCTAGCATGACTTCTTTGTATGCGCAAAAAATCTGACACGTAAGGGTATCCTTAACACAAAAATTGATCAAATGCTTCTCTAATTATCTAAATAGCTAAAATTGTAAATTCAAGATATTTGACACAAATTCAATTTTGACGGTTTGAAACAGTGCGTTTATTCTTCCGTTTATTTCTAAAAGCATAGCATTTTTATTAAATATGATTCTAATAATATTTTTGGATTAAACAGATATCTGTGGTCAATTCTATTGATTTTTTTTCCACTCGGAATACATTTTTAAGATATGTAATTTGATCCCACTACTATCAAATGATTAATGCATATAAAAAAAGCAATTACATTTAAAAAAACGAACTATTGAAAAATTGACAGTTGACGGTATAGTTTCAATTTTTTGAATTGATATCGACTATTTTAAAAATGAAACTCTTTTGGAGTTTTTTATGCATCAAAAGGTATTAGTAATATTTTACGAACTATTTTAAAAATGAAACTCTTTTGGAGTTTTTTTATGGTAATGTATTATTACTGGGGAGAAGCTTCCTAAACTTTTTAATCCCATAAATATGGTCATTATCTGGAATAAAGAGTTAAGCGTCATATGTCACTTTTTGTACTAAGGAAACATCGACTTTATGCGTTATGACTTTTCGATGAGGAAACAAGTGTTCACGTATTATAAACTTCCTTATTCCAATAAACCGGCCCTAAACATAATTAATTTTAAGCATTATAATGGTCTCTTTTCTATGATAACCAAATCAATTTGGTTATCATAGAAAAGCACCAAAAAATGGAATAGGAATAGCCGCGTTAAAACAGGAATAGGCAATATGGAAACAAGGGTAGACTCAAACTCATACTCAAGGCAAGACTGATACAAGAATTACAACAAAATTTTACAAAATCTATTATTTATCTCAATTTAATGGCAGGTTTTAGTACCCGAAGAGTTTGCATTCTACTTTTTGCTCTTATTTTACAAAAATATTCTAAAAATTTGTAACTTCTTTTATAATATAATACTTTTTTTCAAATTTACTTTCCAAACGTTAATGTCTTGTTACGGCTATATCTTTGTACGGGGAAATAAAGAAATTTTATTATGCTATTATATTATTTTTTTAAATCAATATCTAATCAATAGTAAGTTAGATTTTTTATTAAAAGAGCAAATAAAGATACGATCGAGCAATAGTTTATTTTAAATCTCAATATTATAAAATAAATGTTCAAAATTTTTAAGTAATAATACTAAATACTTAAATAAGTAAAAGCACACAAGAAAAATATTCACTAACTTAAGAAAAAATCATATATTTAGAGAATTATCCCTTATAATAAGATTAAAAAAAATTAAACTGTTTTCAATCATCATCATCACCAGCTCCATAGAACTTGTGTTTGCGATAGATGACACATTTTGCAAGCCATTTGACACCACCAAGATATGACCACAAATCGCTGCCAACATCTCCACCTTGAAGACCTTTGATCAAACCATCAGGAACAATGTAAGTAATTTCATCGTCGAGCATGAACCAAACTCTTCCTTTGTTGACGAAGGCAACGAAATGACCTTGATGATAAGCAATAATGGAATGTATCTTAAATACATACGTTCCATCACTGAGTTGAGTTTTGTAGTTCTTCTTGATCTCAAATTTGTCAAAGAAGACATTTGGATCAGACCAATTCCTCTGAACGTCGACCCAGAGGAATGTTGAGATTTCATTGATATGAGAATCATCTGTGCACATTTGTTTAATTCCTTGATCAATACCTGCTGCACCAAGAGGAATGTGAAGCGAAACCGAATAGAAGCTTTCATCAGGAGTCTCAGTTTGATATTGGAATGTAACGGCAATATCTGGTTTGTTTGCTGATTCCGTAACATCATGTACAATCTTTTGAAATGTGTCATCGGCATCTTGCTGCTGGAAGTATTGCTTGCCGAGTGTTGTGATGAATTGTGAGCATGAAATTGTGTATTCCTTGTGGCGGTAGTGCAACATCTGATCATAAATTTCGGCAAGTGCTTTCACTGGCGTATATTCGACATCTCCCAAATGCTCCATTACATCTTTTCTGAAAGTATTTACGTAGAACAAAACTTGCAAAACGGCATTGACATGGCAGGTAGCTCCCTCATTATGTAATCCTGGAATTGACATTTTTGTTTCGATGTTGTAGATTGCATTTTGTGTTCTTTTAATAAGTATCTTATCAATCTTTTCATATCCAGCTAGTGGAGATGGAATCTTCATTGGAGTTTCTGGAGTTTGGAGATAAAGATCTTTTGGAACACATCTTGGCTTTGGCATTGGGCTTCCTGAACCATTTGGTTCTGGTGTTGCTGCAGCTTCTTTTTCATCTTTTGGAGTGCAAGGAAAATCGCAGTTATCCTTCTCACTGAGAGGTGTGGAATCGATGTGATAGTTATCTAAAGCAAACAATCCTTGAACAATAAGTGGAAGATTGCCTTTTTCACCACGATATCCTATTGCCAAGACACTCCAATTACTTTTATCGCGTGCAAAGCGGCGTTCGACAATTTGGCGATCATGTGCAATCGCATTATTGCGTTTTGTAACTTCTTCGTCATCACCTCTTTGCATAATGACGGCTGTTGGATGGTATTTCTGAATACCGATGTAACCTCTATCTGCAAGAAGTCCTAATGCAACAGATTCAACTCCACGTTGGACATGTAAAAAATCTGAAGCTCCTGATAAATCAAATACTTTCTTATCGTGAACTGAAGCTAAAAAACTTGTATTCATGTGAATTACCTGTCCTAAAGGATTAACAAGAACTTGAACCTTCATACCATTGCAATGGTTTTTAGCATCCCATGAACTTTTACGCTCAGCAAGATCAAGAGGAACGGTAAAAGGAATAGTAGAGCTATCAACTGCAGCAACACATGTTGGAAAGTTATCGAACTCCTTGTCACAGGGAGAATATTGTTTTGGAATGAATTCAGCAATGAAAATTGGGAACATCCTGTTTGTTGTTTTGTTAATGATTTTGCTGAGGTAACTCTGTTTCAAACTAACAATTCCTGACATTTTTTGCAATGGAAGATAAGTGCAATAGTAAGTTAATGTTAGGAATAACGCATCTAATGGATCACAACCGTTTTTCCGACCGCGTCTGGATGAAAACTCATGCTCGCGAACAACATCAACTAAATACAAGAGTTGATCCAAAGAAAAGTTACAAAGGTCTTTGACATTTAAGATTGGGTGTGCCTCAAGGAATTTTTGTAAGCTAAACTTTCTGACAACTTTAAATTCTTCGGCATTAGCTGGTGCTTGATTTTCATCTTCACTTGCGGGCTCTGATTCATCAAGATAAGCTAAGTGCATTTGCATTCTCACGATTTCCTTGGATCGGGTTTTGGACTTCTGGATATCATCCAAGAACTCGGAATCATCCTTGTACTCCATTAATGAAAGTGATATGAACATTTCTTCTAAGAGTTTTCATTCAATTCATGTTTTTAAGAAGTTAGTGAATTAATTTTCATATCTCAGAAATTCGAAAAATAATTGTTTAAGGATACCCTTACATTGCGTAGTTAGAAAGAGAATATGATATTGTCATGATTGCTAAAGTTTTAGGCTCCAGAAATGAATATACATCAAACTGAAACAATTGATAAATTGAATGAACTTTTGAGAGGTTCTCAAATAAAAAAAATTATCTAATTTTTTACAATATTACTATTATTTTATCCACATATGTATATATAGTAATTTGAGAAAACTTTTAGGAAAAAATAAGTTTAATAAAAATCTGAATTTTACTTGTTGTGGGATTGTTATTAATTGACACTCCAGACGTATTACTAATAGTTATGCGTATGCAATTAAAGTATTTCTGATGGACAAAATGTGAGATTTATATCAGATAATTCATTTCTACTATTAAGTTATTCATTTATGAGTTTGCACTTATTCGCACTAAATAAATAACTATTAAAAATTGTTTTAATTAATTGACACCATATAATAGAGTGAATTTTGTTTGATCAAACAACAATAGATGATAGATATAAAGCCAAGAAACTTGCTATTAATATGCTCTACTTGCTATTTCAATGTAAGTATGATATTTTCTAAATGTTTCGTTCAGATAACTTAGATATATTAGTCAAAATTTGAAATTTTAATAGCACATATATTAAAAATAATTATTATTCATAAAAGATTAATGAAATAGTAAAAAAAAATCAATCAAATTATAAAAATACAACATTTAGAAGAATTCTTATTATCCTTCAAAAAGTCAGTATTTCTGCTGTAATTTTCTACAACATTGTAGTTATTGCACTTTGTCTATGGATTTGTATATATGTTATATATAAATTATATATCTAAACTGCCCATAAGTGCAATTTTTATATAAATTGTTTATTTCTTTAACAATTTCATATGAAATATGCTTTTTTAAGCGTATCAAAGCTGTGTTCTTAATGTGCATGGATATATCAAGAAAAATGTCGAAAAAAAATGTGAATTCACAAATTCACTGAATTTTCACCGTTTTTTGAATTTTGCTACAGCACTAATATTAAATAATACTAAAATCTTCTGTCTTTGTAAAAGAATAAATTCTGACAAAAAGTGCTCGTTTAAATTTAATGATCATCTGTATGACTAAGTGGTAAAAAGTGTTTATGACCAAAAAAGGGTTACATGCTTAGTCTCTTTTTCTGACAGGATACTCTAGATTTACATGATCTCTATTTCATATCTCCGTTTTTAGATTCTTCGACAGATTTTATGATAGAAAACCAAGATTAACAAATTTCCGGCATGTTAATGAAGAAATCTGCAGCTACCCTCAATATTCTTTCAATAATCAGTATCGTTTCTCTTACAATTTATTTTTTTCTCAATAATTTAACAAGAAATAACAATACACACTTAGTTTTACGTATAAAAGCTAAGTGTCGAACTTAATCAACTTTACTTACTTAGCAAATGAATATTTTTGTGGTTGCGAGTTCTGAATGCTGAAGAGATTTCTCTATAAATGATATCATTGCACTTACAATGTTGTTCCAGCCTATCGCATAAATCATAGAAAATCCAAAAAAAAAAAATATAAAGAAAATTCATGTCATGAAGTTCAAAAAAATACCGTGTAACATTAAAATTTGTTATGCATAATACATTTTAGCTATTATTGATTTTTTTTAATTTTCGAGAAATTGAATGGTGAGTCCGATAGAGAAATTTTTAAAAATCCTAGTCCCTCATAGAAGTAATTTCCCTCGTCTCCCATACTTCCAAATGTATGCATATGACATAAACTTTTATGCATTACACAAATGGCCAATAATATCTATAGAGTAAAAAATTAGAAATTTAATTTTTTTATATGATAGTTATATTTCAGATTTGCGAGCGTAACTTTTTTCTCCATGGCATACTTGTTTTAAGAGCAAATGATCAAAATCGTCCTTCAATTATTGAAGGAGCTGATATCTTTTGAAAATTGAATTGAAAGGGTATTCAATTTTCAAATTTCCTCTCAATTTTGGAAACATATCAACTCTATGAATTAACAATTATGTGCCTTCACAGTTTATCAGTCATATAAGGTGCTTATAAAGAAAAAAGTTACGCTCGCAAAATATGTTTTTATATAGATTTCACATAAAATAATTATGTAATTTCTAAAAAGAATATTTTTGTTCTTGAATATTAAAGTGTATTGTAGTTTAAAAAGTTTTAAATATGTTGCTAAAATTTCAGGTTTATAGCTCATGTCTAGCATGACTTCTTTGTATGCGCAAAAAATCTGACACGTAAGGGTATCCTTAACACAAAAATTGATCAAATGCTTCTCTAATTATCTAAATAGCTAAAATTGTAAATTCAAGATATTTGACACAAATTCAATTTTGACGGTTTGAAACAGTGCGTTTATTCTTCCGTTTATTTCTAAAAGCATAGCATTTTTATTAAATATGATTCTAATAATATTTTTGGATTAAACAGATATCTGTGGTCAATTCTATTGATTTTTTTTCCACTCGGAATACATTTTTAAGATATGTAATTTGATCCCACTACTATCAAATGATTAATGCATATAAAAAAAGCAATTACATTTAAAAAAACGAACTATTGAAAAATTGACAGTTGACGGTATAGTTTCAATTTTTTGAATTGATATCGACTATTTTAAAAATGAAACTCTTTTGGAGTTTTTTATGCATCAAAAGGTATTAGTAATATTTTACGAACTATTTTAAAAATGAAACTCTTTTGGAGTTTTTTATGGTAATGTATTATTACTGGGGAGAAGCTTCCTAAACTTTTTAATCCCATAAATATGGTCATTATCTGGAATAAAGAGTTAAGCGTCATATGTCACTTTTTGTACTAAGGAAACATCGACTTTATGCGTTATGACTTTTCGATGAGGAAACAAGTGTTCACGTATTATAAACTTCCTTATTCCAATAAACCGGCCCTAAACATAATTAATTTTAAGCATTATAATGGTCTCTTTTCTATGATAACCAAATCAATTTGGTTATCATAGAAAAGCACCAAAAACTGGAATAATCGGCAATATGGAATTATGAAACAACAGGATAAAATGGATATGGGACATTCATGAATGCATTCACTTTTTTCAAGACTTTTTAATGAATTTCAAATTCCTCAGATTATTTTCAATAGATTTTCCGTACCATATCATTTTTATTAGACAAAGCTATCTTTTCGATGAAATTTTTGCAAAAATACTCTGTTTTGAAAAAGATTTATGTAAATTTTTTGATAAAAGTGTCTTGAATGATTATCATTGATAATACCATTCCAATTGAATGCTGTTTTCGGCTGCTTTTATAAAACTTTGATCATATTGTACTCATAATTTTTTTTTGTATTTTGGTCAAAAACTAAGCTAACATCAGCTGTATATTTGCATAAGCCATTAATAAGCTTTGGTATAGGTTATACTGAGTTTAGACGATCATACAATTTAGACTTTTTTCATTTAATTTAGTCTAACAAAGAGTGATTATCTTACTATTTGATTCATAAATATATAGGAAATAATAGTTTTATACCTTAATATGATAAAATTTTATAAAATTTTCCCTTCTCCTTTGGCAATATTAGTCATTAAAAAAAAAAAAAAAAAAAAAAAAAAAAAAAAAGGTAGTGGGGCTTCCAGGCACTTCGTGCCTTCTAGCCCTGAGGATGAATGAGTATAAATGAAGTTTTTATTCGGAGGGCTTCCAGGCGCGTTACGCCCTGAAGATGTTTAGTATAAATGAAGTTTTTACGAAGAAGAACTTTACAAAACATAGACAAGAAAGTTCATGAGGAACTCTCAACAAAGTCTTTACGAAGAAGAACTTTACAAAGTCTTTACGATGAACTCTCAACAAAGTCTTTACAAAGTCTTTACAAAACATAGACAAGAAAGTTCATGAGAAAGTCTTTACAAAGTCTTTACGAAGAAGTCTTTACAAAACATAGACAAGAAAGTTCTTGACAAAGTCTTTACAAAGTTTACGAAGAAGTCTTTACAAAGTCTTTACGAAGAAGAACTTTACAAAGTCTTTACGATGAACTCTCAACAAAGTCTTTACAAAGTCTTTACAAAACATAGACAAGAAAGTTCATGAGAAAGTCTTTTACAAAGTCTTTACGAAGAAGTCTTTACAAAACATAGACAAGAAAGTTCTTGACAAAGTCTTTACAAAGTCTTTACAAAACATAGACAAGAAAGTCTTTACGAAGAAGTCTTTACAAAACATAGACAAGAAAGTTCTTGACAAAGTTCATGAGAAAGTCTTTACGAAGAAGTCTTTACAAAACATAGACAAGAAAGTTCTTGACAAAGTCTTTACGATGAAGAACATTACAAAACTTCATCGTCAATGAGTGTAAATCAGGCAAAAATATATTTTAGGGTAGAAGGTTAGATATAACCTGTTTTCTAACCTCAATTTCTACCCTCATGAACTTTCTCAACAAAACGATGAAGAACTTTTCCGAATTAGACAGTCTTTACAAAGTCTTTACGATGAAGAACTTTACAAAACATTAGACGAAGAAGTCTTTACAAAGTCTTTACGATGAAGAACTTTACAAAACATAGACAAGAAAGTTCATGAGAAATTAGATGAAGAAGTCTTAACAAAAACATTTACGAAGAAATTCATGAAAATTCATGAAAATTCAAGAGGGTAGAAATGAGGTTAGAAAACAGGTTATATCTAACCTTCTACCCTAAAATATATTTTTGGGTCATTTACAAAGTCTTTACGATGAAGAAAACTTTACAAAACAATTGACAAGAAATTGACAAGAAAGTTCATGAGAAAGTCTTTACAAAGTCTTTACGAAGAAGTCTCAACAAAAAATTGACAAGAAAGTTTCAGAAAATTCAAGAGGGTAGAAAGTGTCATATAAACATCTGTCAAAAACCATTTTTAATTCACTTAAAATGCCACGTAAGCTACGTAAGAATATACGTAAGAGGAAGAGAGCATTGAAACATCCAATAGTAAAAACTAACACCACAACAACAGTTGCAACAACAAATGCTGAATGACCCCACTATGTTGCAACAAATGTCAAGCAATCCTATGCTTTTAAACCGAGTTCTTGGTGCACAGAGTGGAAGGTTTAAGAGCGGCACTTTTTAGCGAAAATGGCAGGCTATGGTGGAGCTGCAGACGGAACAGCCTATAACCCTCAAAGTCAAATGAATTTGAGTTCACTCAAAAATCAAAATAACAGATGTCAAAAAGTCAAACATAGACATACAGAAGCAAATAAGTGAAAACGAAAAGAAACTAGAATATGACAGACACACAAAGAAACTCAATGAGTTAAACGTAGAGAAAAAGAAGAAGAAGAACAACTGAAAGAACTAAGTACAGAGGAATATGCAAAAAAAGTGTCAGAAAAAGCAGCAGAAGTAGCAAAAATGGAACAAGATGTTAAATTTGAAAAAACCATACTACTCAATATAAAGTACTGAAAGATGAAGAGATAAAACAAAAAGCCCTGAAGACATATATGGATAGCGATGAGTATAAAAAAGAAGTTGAAGCAAATGTAAAGGCAGAAAAACTTTTACAGTTGCAAAACCAAACCGTACAGTATGAAAACTTAGCACAAGAAAGTAAAAATAACGACGCAGCCATGCAAAAGGCAATGAAAAGCGCAGAATATATAAAAGCTAACAATGACTGGTTAGATGCCCAAGCCAACGCTAAAGCAGCCCAACTCATAGGGTCAATAAGGACAAAAATACAAGCGGATGAAGACAGTTCAAATGAAACTTTAACAAATGCTGACTTTAAGAACGCCTTCGAAGCTCTTCATAGTAAGGTGAAACTAGTGAACGACTTCTCATCTGGAAAGAAACTGAAGTCTGAAGGTTTCGACAACGAGTTAAAAGAAGTAGCACAAAATATGACGAAAATAACAGATGCAGCAACGAGACAGGCAGTTCAAAGTGCCTATGACGCCGTTAGAGCAACTGTTGTGAAAAGTCAAGAAAAAGAGTTACAACAGACCAAAACAGACCTAGTAAATGCTTTCTTAAAAACGAAAAGTCAGGTAGGACATTACGCTGCAGATGGAACATATGTGCCAGCTGGTGGAACTTATATACCACCAAACCCTCCAAGAGAAGCACCTGCACCAGGACTACCTAAAACATTTACATCGTCACATGGACATAGACACAGGCATGCACCAAAACCAGCACAACAACCAGCACAACAACCAACAGTTCAAAACCCTGCACAGCAACCACCTCCACAACCAGCACAACAACCACAAACAGAGCAAGGACATAAAAGAAGTAGAGAACAAGGGAACCAAGAATTCTTAAAAATGCTTAAAGAAGACTATGGTTACCCAGATAGTATTGACTTTAGTGACAGATATAAAGAAGCTATTAGAAAGTTCAAGGATGGAAATACTGACCCGAACCTATTTAGCTTTATGGCTCAGCACCAAAACGGATATAACCTCAAACCTGGAAAATACAAGCTCGCTAAGGGATATGATTTAATAGCATATCATCCAAATGACATGGATGAATTTACTCCGAGATATTTGATGTCAGAGCTAAATGACAATTCAACTTTCGTCATGAAACGCGTAAAAAATAGAGACGGAACGAAAGAAAAAAGCTTATGAATGCGGATGACGTAGATAGGGAAATTGTTAAAAACGGTCTCGGAATATATGAAATGCCAGCAGATGAGGTACAAGAAACTCCACAGGAAGAAATAGTTCAGATACAACCAGACATGGAAGAAATAGTTCAGCAACAACAGCTAGAAGAGCCTGAAGGAAACGAACAAGTCACTCCTTTGGAAACTAACTTCACAGAACTAGATGAAGATTTGGAACAGCCGAAAAATCTTGACCCTCAACAAGAGTATGCGGAGAATATGGAATATTTCCAAGAGTCTAAAAAAAATTCGGCTGACATAGTAGAAGAATATCGAAAAATGTTTGCCGACATACAAAAGACTCCAACACCAGATGAAAATATTCAGCATAGAATGGAAGTACTGAAAAAAATGTACACAAATACAACAACCCTTTTTACTTACGAGCATTTAACGTTCAATCTTCGGATGAACTCGGTGAAGATAAAAGGTTAAATTTCAAGAAAACATATAGAAATGAAACATTGTTTAAAGTTCATTCAGAACCTAACCAAGATGGAAACCAAACCTACTTTTGTTTCTGCAGACGATGGAACTACAATGAGATGGGGTCATAAAGCTAATCCGGATAGGTGGTTCATAAACTTACAACCACAATTCCAAGAAGTTGTAGACGCAATGGAAGTCAATGGTGAACGAGATATAGCTGGTATTTTAAGCGCGGCTTTAATGCCATTGAAAGATATGAAACATGCAGATATTTTGGACCAGTATGAAATGAACATGGCTGATGGAAATATAACACCTGACGTTCTAGAACATTTATCTCAAAGAACTACACAGAACCATAGAGATGGTATATTTGGTGAAGAGTTTAGAAAGAAAGTTAGGGAGAGAGAAGGAAGAGAACCTATTGTACATGACCTTGCAAACGAAAGTTTACAAAATGTCATAAAAACTTACTTTGCAGACAATGAACCGAGAAGGGATGAATATTTAAGAAAACTCAAATGGACAGTACCAAATGAAATGTTAGTATTGAAAAACATGTTCCTTGACAAAATAAAACCAACTACAGAAATAAATGACGCAAGACTGAAAGATTGGGTAAAAGCTTTCCCATTCACAAAAGATATAGTTGGTAACATGGAAAGAAAACCAGAATGGCTACAAAAACATATATTTGGAAACGAGCTTATTCCATATGGACAGGCACTGTTTGAAGAGCTTGAACCGGAAACTCAGGAAAGAGTCATGCAAACAATACGCAAAGACTCAAATACAGACTATGACAAACTCTTTCTAGGATATAGGTTACCTGAGATGGGCGACCAGAGCCAAAAGGCAAAAAGGACATGGGAAATTTGCAACATACTAGATGAACATAATGCAAAGATGCAACAACTTCAAGCAGAGGGCAATGAAGGAAAAAGAAGAGTTAAAAACTCAGTCAGGAAGAAAGTAAAGCTTGGTCCACGTGGGTTCTATTATGACATATAAATCCAACTATTCTATATTTTTACTCATATGAAATGTACGCCGCTCAGAATATAACGCCAACAGTTTTGGATGCTATGAATGGAAATGTTTCCGAATGGTATAACGAATGCGACAATGCCATTAGAAGGTCAGAAATAGTTCCTGGAACTTACGAATATACAACTGCTGTTTCTTATGGAAACGTAGGTGAGTTTGGAGAAGGTTCTTCAACAACAGTAGATATTGCTTGCGACAGGTTTCATATAATTTCTATTGACAACTCTTTCTTATACGTGGAACAAGACATTGAAATAAAACCTTCTGCCAAGTTGTCTGACAAGAAAGGTTGCAATGGAATTTTCTATGTCGGATACCAATATGCTCCAGAAGTTTTCATGGGATATAAGATATATTCTAACTCTGACTTAGTTCAAACAGTAACATGGGCAAACTATGAATGGTTCGCTTTGAGAAACTCAGTACAACCACAAGCTAGAGAACAAACAGACCAGTATGCCAACCATTGAGAAAATAAGAAGACTTGACCCTAACGTTCCAGGAGTTTATGTTAACCTTTCTGGACAAACTGCAGCAGCAGTAACCAAGTAAAACTGAAACTTAGAGTTCCTTTGTCATCTTTCCTCATCTTCAGGTTTTTAAGATACTTGCCAAACTGGGCAGGAAAAATTTCTATCGAACTTACTCCAAGCAAAAATAACTTAGTCATTGCACCAACACAAGACCCATTCACTCTTACAGACGTAAAGGGAGCAAATCAAACGTCATTCGCCGAATTTTGCAAAGACAAAGTTGACTTAGACTTTGGTTTCTCAAACCTCAACACTGAAGTAAACTATTATTTCAATGCTGCTGGAATGCTTGGGACCCAGTTAAGTTCACATGCGAAAAGTTTGAATGCAAGAGAATAGAAAGCAGACTTGCAGTCTATATGTTGGACCCAGATATTTCAAATGCTTTAGCTGCCAAATATATTGCAGTTCCACTTATGTTCCCTATACACCAAATATCTGTCAAAGACTTTGCAGGTGAAGTTGGAAACCAAAGTGCTGACCCAGGTGCAAGAACAGATATTGCTTTAACAACTGCAATGAAACATGCAGATACTATGTTTGTACTGTTCAGACGAACTATAAATGACTATTCTTGTTTTACAACCTGGTATTAAATACATATAAACATAGATGGCAAATACTTATCCAAGAGAAGAATATTCTACAGTTGAGGATATGAGGTCATACAACTTGACATTAGATTATGAACTTTAACAACAACTTCACAACAACCATTAACCCTGAAATGCAAAGTTCTATTATGCCATATGTGAAAGTATGGACCATACAGGAGGTCAAAAAACTCAATATACAAATGGAGACCGTTCAAACTTTTGGCTTGGCATTCCATTTGCTGACTCAGAAGACTTTATGGGTGGTATTTCAACTGTTGGTACAGTTCAAATACAATATACTGGTGACAGAGACGGTCCAAATGAATTGAAAGCAAAGAAGTTTACAAAACCAATAGCACTTTTCACGGAAGATGCTCTTTTGAAAATTCGTTCGATGAAACCTGCTGGGGCTCCTCAGATTGGTATAACGACAGCTTCCATCGAGCAGATTTTGGCAGCAGTCAGTAAGTTGTTCTTGAACTGACTTCTCTCCGTCAAAATTGACAGTACGCCAGTTTTGACATAAAATTGTAATAAACTTACCTTTAGAAATATCGGTCAGTTTTGTTGTTATATTTTTGTCTGCTTCAAGAACTTTCACCATTTCAGTTATACCAACTTTCTTTGCTTTATGAAATATTTTGGTTCAGCAAAGACTGCTATTCTATAACATTTCCATTGTTTGTAAAGAACTATTCTGTCAATGAACTTGTATTGTTTGTGTGTGTAAACTTTGTTTTGCTTCAATTCGAAGAGATACTCGAATACGTCCATCTTTTTATTCTAAGTAAAATGTCATTTCCGAAAAATAGCGTAAGTGTTTCAAAAGGTTTAATGGCGATGGCAGATGTGAAGTTAAATTCACCAACTCAAACAAACAGTCAAAGTGTTGTTGTCAATGTCAAAGAAAGAGATGTTGAAGTGGGGAAACCATACGAAGACGAAGATGGTATACAATAGTTCCTGTAAAAGAACAACCAACATACCTGAAGTTAGCAGAGACTTAAGTTCTGTTGCAGATATTCGAAACGACTACCAACAACTTAAAGACAAACTTAAAACTCAGGAGAAGATTTGTCAAGGCTTTGGGTATAATGTTAAACTTGGTCGAACACAACCCTGTAAAAGTGAACTCATATGTCATTGCACCTCATGAAGTTTTGAAAGAACTATTGAAACTTTGACAGAGGCAGACGATATAAACATCAAAGAAATAGAACCGACATTGCTTGCTGTGGTGTTTCATATAAGTCATTGACAAGATATACGTTATGAAAGGAGGTGAAACGTTGAACTTAAAATATAGTTTCCCAGACGTCATAAAAATATTTGACGACCACAACATTTCATTAAAATTACTTGCTAAGTAAATGCAGAAGACATAGTGGTTTATACTATTACACTAAACCCTGAGTCATATAATTCATAAACAACAAACTTACAAAGTCCTCAAGGACGATATTGTAAACTGACCTTAAACACGATGACGACTAAAGCCTGTTTTGCTCTTTTGACACCAGAAGACTTTGTTGTTGTGAATGGTAAAAAATACTTCTTTGAAGATACTTACTCAGATATACCACCAACAGGTTTTGTTGACTTATTTAATACTTAAGGACGGATGTAACATGTGCTGCAACTAGAGCAGGTTTCATTATGTTTGGATGTCCGACTGAGTTTAGTATAAACGATATGAGCTATAATACAAAACTTATATCTGGTTTTACTACCAACAGTTTCCTATAACAGGAAAAGGTGTCATACACAGGAAGTCTATTCCATTGACTTTAAGCACACCATTTATATATTGTTTCAAACTTAAGGTTCAAAGTGCTATTCGAATGTCGACAGAAACTACTATGACCAAGATACTCATGCGTATAAACAACACTTTCTCTGCTGTTTGCCTATTGTTCATTCGAATGCAGAATTTTCAACTTAGTAACTCAAACACTTTGCAAACATAACGTTAACCTTAGTTGACGCAAACTTTGTTCCTGTAAAACTTTTATGTCCTATGTATTTGTCAATGACGGCAGAAAGTTTCGAATTGGAAGATGCAACTGGTGAAAGTATTGTACTACAAGAACAACTTCAACAACAAATACTCAAGAACAACAAATGCAACAAAAGCTCAAACAACAAAATAGCTCAAGAATAAAAAATATTTTTTTTATTTTATTTGAAATGTACGCTGAGTTTGTTGGAGAAGACCGTTGGGAAACTTGTTTGTTAGATGAGAAATATGAAATTCACTGTTGTGAGTCATTTGAAGTCAGAAACAAAAAGACAAAAAGAGTTTTAAGCGGATGGGAGCGAAATGACGGATATGCTATGATGAGGATGGGTGGAAAAAACTATTTTAAACATATTGTCATTGCAACTCATTTATACCGAATCCTAACAATTTACCTCTTGTAGACCATATAAACCGTATAAGAAGCGACAATAGACTTGAGAACTTACGTTGGGTTACTCGTTCTGAAAACAATAAGAACATAGGCAAATTTAGAGATATTGTATTCGAATTTGTCGACGAACTAGAAGATGAAGCAATTGAAATTACAGACTATGGCAAGCATACGTTTGAGTTTTACTACTACAGCGAAGAACAAGACTCTTTCTACTTTTATACCGGCGTAAACTATAGGAAATTACAAGTATATTTTACTAAGACGGGCTATGCTCATGTAAACGCTAGAGATACAGATGGAAAAAACGTTCGAATACTTCTTAACAAATTCAAGAAGCTATATGGCATACCATTTTAAAACGTTTTTTTAAAAAAAAATATTTTTTTATCCGATAGAAAAGATGACGAAATATATTTCAGTCAACAAGTACATGACAGAAGTCAAAGAAGAACTAGACCCATTCATATATTTGAATGTTTACTTCTACCATTTTGAAAAGTCTACATTTGACAAAGTTTGGAACATCGAACCCGTTAAGTTTGCTATTGTGACTAAAAATGGTGCGAAATTTGAAGACTTAGACATAGAAGGTTTGTTAGCAGTCAAAGAAAATTTTGACAGAAGGTTTTCAAACCTTAAAGAAGGCAAAGCATACAAACTTGTTATACCTTATGAACCAAAGAAAGCAGACGACTATGAATATTATGAGTCTAAGATAGTTGAAGTTCAAGGTAAATTAGGTAAAAAGATTTTAGAGTCTAAGCCAGTGTTTGCTCCTAAAGAGGAAGAGAACATTGACATTGACCCAGAAATGTTCTAAAAATAAAATTTTATTTTTACATGTCATATCTCACCTTCTCTGGAACTGGTTCAGGTTCTTTCTTCTCTTCTACTTCTTTCTTCTACTTTCTTTTCTTCTTTTCTCTCTTCTTCTTCTTCTCTGGTGGAGTTATGTCAAATTTCTCAGAACCATATTTATGTAAAAGTTCTTTGTCCTTTAATAGCTCTTCTATTCTGTTTCCTATTTCATCTTCAAGAACAGCGCATGTGTCTTCTTTGCATTCTAAGAACTTTTGTTGGACTTCATCTTTCCAATCGGTGTCATCTCTGTCAACAAGTCTGTCATTGACAAACTTAAAGACTTCTCTGCCTAATGTTTTATGGTTCTTGTCATATTCCCAGAAACAGAACTTTAGAACAAATTCACCTTTCTTGTTTACACTATGTAAGATTTTATGGTCTACAGATGTTTTGCTGTCGAAAAGCTTGTCTCGAATATAGATAGCGAAATCGCTAGACATTTTCTAAAAGATAAAAATTTTAATTTTTCTAAAAATATGTTAGAAAAAAAGTTTGCTGACATTGACAAGAAATTTGAGAATGTTTTAAACAAGAACAAGAGGAAGTTAGAAAATGCTCAGATAAAGCCTATACATGAAAGTTCCTATTTGCTCAGAATGGTATAACAGGTCTAATTGCACCACCTGGGTCGGGTAAGACTTTCACTTATCTTAAAATGGCTGCACAACAACAAGAACTAGATGAGAAGAACCCATTCTATGAGTTAGTTGTTATTTGTTGTAGTACTTCTGGTCAATTCGACCAAACCGTAAATTCGTTCAAAGATATTATAAAGAAGTCTAAGTTAGTATGTATAAAAGACTCTGAGTTGTTAGATTGGATAAAGAAGTACCAAAGAAGAGTTTTGAAGTACAATGCTATAAATGAGTATGTCAATTCTAAGTTTAAAGACCCAAATGAGGAAATGCAGAGAATATTAGAGAAGAAACACTTCAGAAACAAACAGAAAGAGATAGAATACATTTCGAAGAAATTGCAATCTTACGATTGGAAGACTTACCCTCACAGATGTCTTCTTATCTTAGATGACTTTGCTTCTCATCCTTTGTTAAAGAACAGAGAACAAGACATGTGTCGAATTCTTAAGAAGCTCAGACACTTTAACATCTCAGTTGTCATTTGTGTACAGACAGCAAAGAGTTTAAGTAAGGATGTAAAGAGAATACTTACTGACATTGTACTTTTCCCCGGATTGTCCGAAGACGATTTCATGGAACTTATGAAAGAGTCCATGGCAGGTAAGTTTGACAGACATGAACTCTGGGAGAAGTACAAAGTCATACAAGACCCTCATACTTCTTTCAGAATTCATATCTACGCAAACAAAGTTCAAATTGTAAAAAGTCAAGCTTGAAAAATCTAAGTGTTTGAGTCTTAGTCTGTTGTGGTGCTGGGGCTGTCGGTTCTTCTGGTTTGGGAAGACATTCAGGAAGAGGAACGTCGGACATTCGTTTGTGTCCTGTCGGAAGGAAGAACTTTTCCTGTTGTCGGGAAAAACTTTTCCAGTTGTCGGGAAATTTTTTTCCAGTTGTCGGGAAAAATTTTTCCTGTCGGATGGAAAATTTTTTCCTGTCTGATGGAAAAATTTTTCCTGAAGTTCGACCAAAAAGTTCTCAATTTTCGAAAATTTGAATGGTTTACGGACGAACAACAGGAAAATTTTTTCCAGTTGTCAGGAAATTTTTTTCCAGTTGTCGGGAAATTTTTTTCCAGTTGTCGGGAAATTTTTTTCCTGTCGGATGGAAGGACTCGGAATGTCGGAAGGAAGAACTTGGAATGTCGGAAGGAAGAACTTGGAATGCCAGAAGGATTTGACAAGACAATTTACCTTATAGAGCTACCTGAGCCATCTGAAGTCAAGCGTAAAAATAAATGGTTCATTTACTCTGCTTGTTTGAAGTTGTCAAAATACTCTGTTATTTTTTCTTTCAGTAGCGGCAAATCTTCTTTGAATGTAAGTATTGTACAACCTTTAATATCATAGTGTGTTTGAGGTAACGTATCTTGAACTATTTGTTTCACATCTTCATTCGGTGTCATTGAAATCGGTAAGTTTTCGCGATAGAACCAATTTCTGTCAGATTTGTAAATCTTAGCAAGGTCGTAAAAGCTTTTGTTGTTTCTTCTGACTAAATGCAACATAACCATATCTCTGTCTTCTTCATTTTCCATCTCTTCAGTAAAATCATATACTTATAGTTCTTTTCCTTTCCTTTTGGTACCGAACGTGGTATTCTTTTCTGTATGTTTTTGTTCTTTTGCTTCAATGACTTCATCTTTTGCATGAAGTTTTCTTTTCCATCTCTTCACGTTCTTGTCTATGAATTTCGTCAAGAAGTTTACAAACATACCATGAATAGCGAGCTGAAGCCCATTGTGCCACATTATTTACGAGAAGTCTATGAACATAATATCCTCTTAAATTTTATTGGCAAATTTTTACGATTTTCATGTGTTTTATGCAAGGCCGAGAATTCTCGTCTAGAGAAATTTCACTCAAAAGTTCTTGTTGCTTTGGTTTTTTGAACCAGTCGTCTGCGTGTTTAGTATCTGGAGCAAAACATGCTGTCAAAAATACTTTGCATTTGGTACATATCGTCTTTTGACGAACGAATGAGACGGAGTTGTTTGTTAAACTGAACCCACTCATATTCTTCATTTATAGCTTCATGGACTATAACTGTTGTTGTGTTCTCGGTTGTTGACATATCTGTCTTTACATACAAAATAAAAAAATAAATAAAAATAAAACTAACTTTATTTTTTCTATCTTAAGGAAATTCATGATTTTCATGAGTTTTAGGCGACTGGGGAAAAAGTCTGTCTAGAGAAATTTCACTGTTTTCATGAGTTTTATGCAAGACCGAAAAAAGTCTGTCTAGAGAAATTTCACTGTTTTCATAGAGTTTTTTGACGACTAAGGTTTCTTACCTACTCGCTGTTCTTCATGATTTTCATACGGAATCTCTATCCTCGGTTTTTCGAGGATAGCAATCTTATGCCATTTTACTCAGATTTTTGGTCATTTTTCAGCAAAAATATAATTTAGGGTAGAAGGGTAGCTCTACCCTCTTTTCTACCCTCTTTTCTACCCCAGTTATTTTATAAGCGTTTTACATGGTAAACGTTATTTTTACATGTATTTTTCAGCAACTTCGTCAAATACTTTTATAGCTTTATCTATCTCATCTACTTCAAACGTTTCCCTACCTTTCGTGGGAGCACCATACATTTTCTCAAACTTTTCAAGTAGTTCTGTTTCAGCAGCTCTCATATCGTTAACCAACACAACCTTGACTCTATTGACTGTACTGTTATCTTTAGAGTTATATTATATGTTCTTCCTATCTTATATCTTTTTGTGTTGAAGTCCTTCGGTTTCTGAACGATGTAAAGTAAGCCTTCACTGCAACGTTCCGTATCGAATGAACCATATGTTATGAAGTTATATCCAACAACTGGGTCTAACCATAACAAAACTATTGGTATAAGACTTTTGTCGATGAGATATGCTGTAGTTCCATAGAATCTTACCGATATCATAAGCTCAGGATTTCTTGTCAAAATTTTCTGACTAGAAGCAATTCTAACCCAGTCCTTTGCTTTCTTTCCAGATGGAGATAAAATGTCTGACAAAGAATATTTGTTGTATTTCTTTGAGTATCTTACGTTTAAATCACCTATTCTAACCACTTTGGTGTCATTGTCTATCTTTCTAACTGTTTCAAACTCAGTGTTTAACATTTCCTGTTCTTACATACAAAATAAAAAAAATATTTTAAAAAAAACTAACTTTATTTTATTTTTTCTATCTTAAGGAAATTCATGAAATTTGGTCATTTTTCAATAAAAATATATTTTTAGGGTAGAAGGTTAGATATAACCTCTTTTCTAACCTCTTTTCTACCCCATATGTCCTTACTGAAAAAGTACGTGTTCCATATGTCATTTTACTCAGAATTTTACTCAGAATTCAATAAAAATATATTTTAGGGTAGAAGGTTAGATATAACCTCTTTTCTAACCTCTTTTCTACCCCAGTTATTTTATAAGCGTTTTACATGGTAAACATTGTGAATTCGTGAAATTCTAAACAATTTCGTAGCTTCTATTTCTTCTGTCAGTACATCGAATGTTTTAACAATGCCGAAGGTTTCTTTATACTTCTTCTTGACATCTGAAAGAAGGAAATCGTCAGCTGTTGGATAGTTTTTGTTTAGAAATGTCAACATGTCCATTTTATCTTCTGCTGGTTTCTCTGCCTCCCTCTTTAAGTCTGCATAGTCGTTTCGCATTCTTTCTATCTCTTTGACTGAGTAGTTATATTTTCTTATTGCTGCCTTACATTTTGAACATTGCGGGTTCATTTTTGCGTTATATTCTGAAACCTTACCTGCTAGTATGACTAAGGCGTCAATTGCTCTCTTTAACTCAAAAGTTGCGGGTTTTATCTGTTCATTCCATATCTTACCTCTTCTATCTTTATCTCTTATCTGCCATACACATTCAGCAACTAACGAAACAAAGTTGTCGTAGGTCTTAAACTCCCCAGATTTGTATATGTCAGAGATGTTCTTATATACCATATCGCAATCTTTGTCCATGACTTTGTGGTTGCAATGAAATCCAAGAAACTCATAGTTTACCTTTCGTATGAACTTCTTTATTTCTACTGAGTCAGTTGCTTTGACTTCTATTTCATCGAATTCTGGAATAGTAAGCTTTTGTTGCTGGATTTCAGGCAATTTGGGTAAATGGTCAATAATATCCTGCATTTCATAAAGATATTCTTCATTTGTTTCATCTTTCGCACAACAGTCCAAAGTACTTGTTAAAAGTTCTTGCTTTATCTTCTGGATTTTTGTTTCGAAAGTATATGAAGAAGGAATGAAGCTTTTCATCTCTACTAACATTGAAGTTGGGTTCATGACTAACGAGTTTGGTGCTGTTGTTGCTAACATGTTCTTACAATAAAAATAAAAAAATATTTTTTTAAAAAAACCAACTTTATTTTTTATTTCGGGAAAACTCATGACAAATTCAAGAGGGTAGAAAAGAGGTTAGAAAAGAGGTTATATCTAACCTTCTACCCTAAAATATATTTTTGCCGAATTCATGAGTTTTGGTTGAAAGAATACGGTGGAGCCAAAAGTGGCTCGACCTCAAAACAAGCATTTTCTGTATAAAATTCATGAAAATTCAAGAGGGTAGAAAAGAGGTTAGAAGACAGGTTATATCTAACCTTCTACCCTAAAATATATTTTTGGGTCATTTACACTCATTACGATGAAATTCATGACAAAACATTTACGAAGAAGTCATGAAAATTCAAGAGGGTAGAAAAGAGGGTAGAAGACAGGTTATATCTAACCTTCTACCCTAAAATATATTTTTGTCGAAAATAAATGGTTCATTTACTCACAATATTTTTGTACAAAACAACCCCAAACTTTTAACTTCTTTTCTGCAGCTTCTAATGTTATCTTAGCGAGTTCATATTCTCTAAATTCTCTCTTTAAATCTTCTTGTTCCCATTGGTCTAGTTCGTATGGAGAATCTCTATAACCAGAACATATCTCACGTTCATGTTCTATTTGTTTTTCATGCATTTTTCTAACTTCTTCTTCAAACAAAGGTTTTGCATTCTCTACTGTATCTTCAAGTTCTTCTTCATCTAACTTCTCATGAACTTTCTTGTCTATGGAGTCCAGAATTTTTCCAACTGCTATGCAATATTTTGGAGAAGCCCACATTGCTATATAGTTTACGAGTCTTGGGTCTACATACGTTCCTCTAACCTGTTTGATTTCATCAGGAATTCCTGCATGAACCTTGTATAAAAAGCAACCGTCGGAATTCCGGCGGTTGGTATATTCTTCACAAAATGCCGTATAATACTCTTCCCAGGACTTATTTTCCAACAACTTTCTAAAGTCTTTCCTAAACTGCTGACACATATTTGTTACATTTATATAACCATCCTTGTCTCTACGTAAGACTTCAATACCATTGTAAGTGCCTTTTGTGAATGTTTCGCCATTAGATTTGTTCGTGAACGTTTTTGCTTCGACTGACATTTCTGTTCTTACAATAAAAATAAAAAATATTTTTTGGTGGTACGTCGGACATTCGTTTGTGGCTTAACCGTCGGACATTCGTTTGTGGCTTAACCGTCGGACCACAACGATGAAAATCTCATTTTAACTCACTTTTTCTGTCTTAAGGAAATTCATCCGGAATTCCTGCATGAACTTTGTATAAAAAGCAACCCGCCGTTTTCCGCGGGTTGGTATATTCTTCACAAAATGCTTGTTTTGAGGTCGAGCCACTTTTGGCTCCACCGTATTTTTTCAA